CACTGGGAAACATAGACTCATATATATATAGGAGTCTATCCTAATTTGTTATGGAGTAGGAGACTTGGGGAACAAGTTTTCCTTTTTCTATTTGTGATTCCAAAAAAAAAAGAAAATTGAAACAATCTTAGATAAAAATAACACTTTAATTTCCATTTTTCTAATTTCCTTTTTTTCATCATCAACCACAAGTTAATTTCTGTAATATATAAGGTTTTGGTCAATGAGTTTTTAGGTGTTGGTTTTTGAGTTTCTGTTCTTGTTGTAGATTTTAGCAATTTTTCAAATAATTAGTTTAGTTTGAATCAGAGCGTCTCTTTGGACGTATAAATGTTTCTCTTTTAACATTTTAAATGAGAGAAACAACGGGTTTTCAAACCATATATCAGAATAAAAGTTGGAGTATTTAATTGAATAGGTTTCTCATTAGAGATACGAGTGATAAGCCTCTTTGTCGGTAACTCTAATACGTTTTCAAAAACTTGCATAAAAATTTATTTGCAGAGTTCATACGAACATCACAAGAAATTGATACGCAGATTAAAAACATACACGTTACAACACCGAATTTTCAAATGATTTAATTTAGTACTTTGCTCCCATTGGAAAAGTATTTAGACGTCGACAAGGACAGCTTCGCCGTCAAATTTATCAACCTTGCTCTGAAACAGCTCAAGATGTTTCTTCACTCTCGAATCCTTCATCTCTAGCTGCCCTAACCGACCCGCCATAGCCGTCACCTTCTCTCTACAGTCCTTTGTTTCCTTTTCTCTCCTCCTCAGCTCTTCTCTGAGCTCCTCCATCTCCGCCTTCCCCTCAGTAATACCCTTATTGCACTCTTCTTTCACCATTTTCGCCGCGCCATACTGCCCGAAATACTCAACCGCCTCCCTCAGCTCATTAACGGCGGTTTTGAGCCATGACACGTCGATTTTTACCGAGTCCATGTCCTTCACGACCGCTGCGATCTCTGTGACCCGCGTCTTTGTCAGATCTCTTAAAGATGTCGATTTCAGCTCCATCACTGCCGCGGCTAAGGATTCTAGGTAAAACGACCTTGTTGAGGTCGATTGCAGCTTCGAGGAGGCCGCTATGTCTCCGTGTTTGTCTAGGATCGTCTGGAGCGTGGCGGAGACGCTCTGCCGCACCTTGTAGTTGGCGACGGAGACGTAAGCCTCGGAAATCGCCAACTGTATCTCTTCTTTGCCTGATTCGTAGCTCTGAATTCCGCGCATTTTGGTGATCTCATGCATCGTGAAGCTCTCAGACTCGTCCGGCAGCTCTGGGGGCTCGAACTGCCGGTCTTGCTCGTAGGTTTCGGTTGCGGTGATCTGGTACTTGTAGTGGACCGGCTGCACAAGGAAATCAAGCATTAGAGATTTCAAGAATTTCTTCATACTTTGGTAAACAGAGAGAAAACGCACCGTGCTGCTCCCAGAGACGCCCCTGGAACGATGTCCAGTTGCAATCTCTGGAAATAGGTAGGTTGAATGGTCGTCTTCGTCATCACTAGATGAGTAGAATGGTGGTTGGGGAGAGCGGCTTGTGGCTCCATGAACAGGACTCATGGGAGGACTGTTATCTGCATCTGCCTCGTACATCCCGTCGAAATGATCTTTCCCATTGTTGTAGTATCTCTGAGGCTGCAACTAACAAGAGCAAAATCAGAGAAATGGTTAAACAAAGGAGTTAGTTAGTGTTTTGAGTACAAACCCTTGTGTGTGGCGGGCTTGGGGATGGATGAAATGGGCTCGAAGGAGCGCTGTTCTGCGATGTTAAATGGCCCTCTGCCTCATACCTTTCTCTACTATAGTCTCTCCCACGATCACGCTGCAAATACAAGAGAACTTGTATTGGTTCTGAATCACAAGAAAGTAAATGCAAGATTCAGGATCAGTACCGTGTTGTAAGGAGCTGGAGAACGGCTTCTGGAGGGGTGAAATGGGCTCACATTGGCCTCTGCCTCATACGTTCTCTCGAACATCTCTCTGCTAAAATCGCTAGACCTCCTACGACGATCAGGCTGCAATCACAGAACCAGAACTTTGTTTACGGAATCCGAATCAGTAGAATGCAAAAAAAACCAGAAACGAGTTCAGTACCGTGCGGGTTCTTGCAGATCGAAAAGGGCTCAAAGAAGCGTTGCTCCTCGGTGTCACGTCCGCATCAGGGTCCTCTGTTCTTCCTTTACAATCCTCTCTAGGACGCTCTGGCTGAACCAAGAATCAAAACCACTAAAGTTGGAAGTGAAGTAGAACAGTAATCACAAAGAGTAAGAGAGTAGTAAGTAAATACCGTGCTATATCTATAGACCGGAGGCCGATTATGAGAATTAGGGACACGTTCAGAGGCTTGTTGCTGTTTCCAATGAGTAGTATGGTCATCCGAGATTGGAAACGCGGACACTGATTCCGATCTTTTCATGCCGAAATGAGTAACCGGCGGAGATCTACCCTCGGTTGGATGAGGAGGGCTCGAAGGGTTGCTCTTACTCGCAGTTCTGTGACCAAACAATCCTGGAGACATCACTTTAGTTTAGCCACCATACTAATCTACTCTGTTTTTTTTTTTAGATTTCATCTTTAAACAACAAACAAAACTGACCTGCTCTTTTTCCATATCTCTTATTTCTGTTTGAGCTGAAGAAATCCATCCCTTGATTGGTACGTAAACAAGAAAATTTGTATATCAGTTACACTCCACTGTATATGTAATTTGTAAGTATGTGTATATGATAAAAGTACCTGGAAAGTTGAATAAAGAATTGGGAGTTCTGTTATAAAATGGAGATAGAGAGAAGACAGAGGTGGACCGAGAGTACCGACTCTCTACTCTGTT